CGCGCGCGCGCAGATTTCCAATCCTGTGGATTTTTTATAAACATAAAAACCTTCTTCTTCAAATAATTGCAATAAATTATCGTCTGACAGCCAACACATGCCACCCTAAATAAAATAACTTGCTAACACTGTATTCCAGTAACTTTGGCATTGGGACTTGAATACAAGTATTTTGTTTAGCTCATGTAGATGTCTGCCTTTCTGAAACAGTATAATACCTGTTCAATTCATCTGCCTCTTCCTGAAGGTTCTGTGCATGGTCAACAGCTTCTTGGACCAAATCCTGACTGAGGTTACTCAGATTGGCCAGTCTTATTTCTAGTTCATTTTTGGCTCCATCAATTTCTGCATAAATCCCTGATGCATTCTAAAGAAAAACATTTAAAAGTCAATTAATTTAGAGGAACTTAAGACATTTTCCTTAGGGAACACATAAAGATAATCTTTATTATTCCTTATTATAACATTTCAGGTTAAGTATATATTAAACCTAAAATACTAGCAATAGATAATTTACCTACTTCTCTTAAATATTTTCTCCCTCTTTCCGCCCCTTTTCATCTTTAACTCCTTCTTCTCTACTGCTTTTCTAGTATTCACATGTACTCAGCCATCTTCTAACTAGAACGAAATAAAATAGAATTCCCTCTACTATTCACTTAACTATCATTACTACTCTACTTTTTTACTCTGTTCATTTCAAAATTTCTCAAAAGAATTTGCTTATGCATGCTGTTTCTATGTTCTCACTTTTTAGTTACTCTGACAAATCCATTAGCTCCATTAGCTCATCAAAATTGAAGTTCACTTATGACATCTGAGACTAACTCCAATAGACACCATATGGTTCTCATCTTATTGGACCTATTTCCTCTCTGGAACCAGCTCATTGTTTTCAAGCTAACTGCAGTCCTCATATGCCCTCCCCTTAGATCACAAATTATGCTGTTTCTGCAATGATGAACATGACTTATAAGTTTAGCTGCGTCCTCAGGACTGACTAGAGATCTGTTCCCTCAGTCACCCAAAGCGCAATTCTAAACTTGCTACTATTCCCAAGGCAATAATAATGTTTCCTTCCCTCCACCTCTTCCCAAGTCTACACAGATCACTTTATTTTTATTTTAAAACATAAACTAATTCTTTGCAGGGAACATTATTTTTAAACACCCCTGAAGTTTTTTCCCCTATGAAAGAGACTTAGTTTATGCCAGGACAAGCAATTATTTCTCTGTAATGTTTAAAGTGTAAAAAATACTAGACATATTTTTATGTTGACAGTAACACTTTGTAAAGAGAAAGAACTGGATGATTCTGAAGTCATAGGTTTGACTCTCAGGAAGGAAACTTGTTAGTCTACAAGGTGAGGACTAAAACTATCCTGGGAAAAGTGGAGGGATCAGACTCTTTAATAGAAAAATGGTCACTTCATCAAATGTAATTGGATGGAGAAAAGAAATAGACTCAGATGAAAGGCAACTGGTAGATATGGGGAAGAAATATTAAAGGAGTTTTCTTTTGTTTGTATCTGTTTTTTCCAATGAAGCATATTTTCCCAGGAAGACTGATGGGAGGAGAGTAAGTTTCACATTAGTGATATTTGGCTGCACTGATATAGCCATATAGAAGGGACACGGGTTTTATTATGTTTGGAGTTCTTAGGTGAATATGACAGAGGAACCAGTGGGTAAAGGAGTCAATGATCATGTTGATGATCTAAGCTGGCTATGGAGGGAAGAGAAGGTAGGAGAGCCTTGGGTTAATGAGGTCAGTGTGGCCAGAAAATTGTTGGAGTGAGAATTCTAGGGTAAATGAGGTAAAAGATGGTGCTTAAAAAGGAGCGTAAATAAAATGGAGTTCATAAAGACCTCTACTATTGATGTAAAAATTTGGCTGTGGCCACAGGAGATTTAACAAGAGAATTGAAGAAAAATATTGCCAGGAAGAAGTTAAAGAAATTGGCAATCAGAAAGCGGTGGGTTCATCCGTATGTATTTTGATGTTATAGTGATGGAAGTTAAAATGAATGGACAGTAAGATACAGAGCTTAGTGCTGAAATACTGAAAGAATGACACAGTGGTCATATTGTCTTAGAATTACGTGTCTCAAAGGTGTGAAAAATGAACTAAATGATTTTATGATGATTTGATGTACTGAATTATGGGAACATTTTCCACTTTTCCAAAATGCTAGTTATAGATTTTGAATGCCAGCTTTATGAGAGCCCCCAGCTCAAGAGTAGAGTATGAATAAGATGGAACAAGGTCAGCATTTTCAACAATATATTCTGTCAAAACAACTCTGAGATATCATCTCACCTCAGTCAGAATAGCAAAATTTAACAGAACAGCAAGCAACAAATGCTGGCGAGGTTGTGAAGAAACTGGAACCCTTATTCACTGTTGGTGGGAGTGTAAAATGGTGCAACCATTGTGGAAGGCAGTGTGACGCTTTCTCAAAAAGTTGCGAATAGAGATACCATTTGACCCAGCAATTCCTCTGTTGGGAATATACCCCAAAGAGAACATAACTACCATCCAAGCAGATATATGTACACCATGTTTATCACAGCTTTGTTCACAATAGCAAGGAGTTGGAAACAACCTAAGTGCCCATCAACAAACAAATGGATAGAGAAGCTGTGGTATATTCACACAATGGAATA